AGAAGATACAAGTTTATACAAATCATGGTGTCAAAACCATGGTCAAGTTTATACGAGGAGTAGGGTTGGGATACTTGGTGGAGTTGCAGAGCATTGATGAGATTCGACATTCAGAGTTGGCAGAGTTTCCCAAAGGGATCCAACAGCTTCTACAACCGTTTACGAACTTCTTTCAACAGCCTAGTGGGTTACTACCCTTGAGAGAGCATGAGCACGCTATCACATTAAAAAGGGCGTTCGCCCTATCAGTGTCAGACCATACAGGTACCCTCAGATTCAGAAGGATATGATAAAGAAGTTGAACAGAGAAATGTTCGAAGCCAAAATTATTAGACCAAGTGTGAGCCCCTTCTTCAGTCAAGTTTCATTGGTGAAGAAAAAAGATGATAATTAGAGATTTTGAGTGGACCACTGAACTTTGAACAAGGAAACAATGTTGGATGAGTTTCCTGTTCCTATGATTGATGAGTTCCAGGACAAGCCTTATGGGGCAGTCATTTTCATGAAAATTGATCTTAAGTCGACATACCATCAAATCAGGATATATTTAGCGGATGCACACAAGACAACGTTCAAAATACATGAAGAACATTATGAGTTCTTGGTAATATTGTTTGGCCTCACCAACACTCCAGTCACATTTCAGTCCCTCATGAATAGGGCTTTTCAACCTTACATCAAGAAATTCATCCTAATATTCTTTGATGACATTCATGCTCGTGCAAAGATGAAATATGTGGAGCACCTGAGGACAACTATGAAGACGTTGAAAGTGGACCAATTGTATGTCAATTTGAAGAAATGTTCCTTTGCATGGCTACAGGTGGAGTATCTTTAGCATGTGATGACCAAGGCAAGAGTAGCAGCAAATTCATCCAAGATTGAGCCTACGATGGACTGACTTTTACCAGGAACTTGAAGGAGTTTAGGGGATTCCTAGGTCTCACCCGATACTACCAAAAATTTGTGAAGGGATGCAATATCGTAGCATGGCCACTAATAGAGCAACTAAAGAAAGACAATTTCAAGTGGGGGAAAGCCACAACATAGGCTTTCTAACATCAGAAAGAGTCATAACCAGTGTATCAGTATTAGCACTTCCAAATTTCAGTAGACCATTTGTGGTAGAGACAGATGCATTAAGGTATGGATTGGGAGCAGCACTCATGTAGGACCAGCGGTAGATTGTTTACTTCAGTCAGGTATGCAATGTTAGGGTGTAACTCAAGTCAGTATACGAGCAGAGGTTAGTGGGTATTGTCTTTGCCATTCAGAAGTGATGACTCTACCTTTTGGGACAACACTTTATTGTCAGGACAAATCAAAGGAGCTTAAAATACTTGCTGGAGGAGAGGATGGTGACTGAGGAGCATCAGAGGTGGCAATCCAATTTGCTAGGATATGATTTCGACATTCAGTACCGGCTAGGGTTGGAGAATAAAGCCACAAATGCCCTGTCAAGGAAGGGGAAAAGCCTCAGCCGGTAGCCTATCGATGCTCTTGGTCCTTGATTGGGAAGCAATGAGACAGAAGAGCGAACAAGACGAAAGTTGAGGAAAATGCGAGCATAGTTGCTACATGATCCAAATAGTCACCCCGGATATGCATTTAGGGGGGAGCAACTACTCTACCAGGTGCGGTTCGTGTTACTGAGGACATTGACATATATTCCCAAATTATTGTACGAGTTTCACAACAATGCAGCAGGGGGACATTCTTGGGTACAGAAAACCTACAGTCGTCCATTGATGGAGCTTTATTAGGTGGGGATGCGCAAAGATGTCGAAAACATGATGGCGTGGTGCGATGTGTGCCAACGACACAAATACTTGAACATGGTGTCAGGAGGGTTGCTACAACCCCTAGTATTACCGGAGAAGGTTTTGGAGGAAGTGACCATGGATTTCATAGAGGGGTTGCCCTGATCAGAAGAGTTCATGATGATTCTGATGGTTGTGGATCGCCTGAGCAAGTATGTCCATTTCACTCCATTACCCCACCCCTAGACGGTGGTTTCAGCGGCGATGATATTCATACCAGAAGTGGTTCGCTTACACAGAGTACCAAAATCGATTATATCAGATAGGTGCAAGATGTTCCTCAGCCACTTCTGTAAGGAGTTGTTCAGGTTACAGGGAACGAACCTTAAGAGGAGCACCGCATATCATCTCCAGACAAATGGCCAAACAGAGATGGTTAACAGGAGTATGGAGGCATCTATGTTGCTTTCTAACAAATTGCTGAAACTGTGAGCCGGGTGGATTACGTGAATATTGGTATAATACCTCATACCATATAGCGACACATACCACCCCTTTAAAGATTTTGTATGGGCGGAATTTACCTCACCTGATACGCTACGAGCAAAGCACCACACCATTATCCAGTGTTAACTAGTACTTGGAGGAAAGGGACACAGTAATGGCATAGTTCAAGGGGCATATCCCGAGAACCCAACAAATCATCAAAAGGAAGGCAGATGGGCATAGAAGGGATATACAATTTAAGCTCCGGGACATGGTTTACTTAAAGCTAAGGCCCTATCAGCAGAAGAAATTGACGAGGAGGAACGAGAAACTTTATTTGTGAAATTTTGGACGCTGCGAGATTATGGAACACATTACAGCAGCATCCCACCATTTGAGGCAACCACCATCAACGACAATACATTCCGCATTTCATGTTTCTCAGCTGAGGCATGCTATCAGAGATCATACACCCTCATCTTCACTACCGCCGACGCTAACGGAGGACATGGAGGTGGTTCTGAACCTTTAGAGGTCGAAAGGGTGCGCATAGCGAGCAGCAAGAGCAAAGGAGATACTAATTAGGTGAAAAGATATGTCAGACTATAAAGCTATGTGGCAGCTTTACGAAGGGATCCAAAAGTGATTTTCATCCTTCCACCTTGAGAACAAGGTACTTCTTTCAGAGGGGAGTATTGATACACACAGGACTCCTCCCGTGTTACATGAACTGGTCCCGGGAGGACCAGGTTGTACCGGCCATAAGGAGCCAAATCAATCGGCCCCGCCTGGATTTGGTTTGAGCGATCCAAGCGCTCGGATAGGGTTCTCCAAGCTGCTTATCACATAAAGAAGGAAGGAAGTTAAGGGGGCTTTAGGGGGGAATTTGAAAGGGACCCTTGGAGAGTATGTATTAGTGCCTAAGGTATAGGGTTTGTTTTTCATTTTTTATGTTTTGGTGGTTGCACTTTTCCTCTTTCACTTGTGGTGTTCCTAGCATCGTTCGGGGTTTGTGGAGCCGATCTACCTCTCAAATAGTAGATCACTTTCTATCTTGTTTGTTTTCAATTGATTTTCGTAAGAACAACACTTGTTTGAGTGTCCCACTTATCTACTACAATTTCGTTGTTGTTTGCTCGCTGATTTTGGTTCCGAAACGTATCAAGATTTTATCGACCAAAGCATTTTTTGGCAATGCCGCCAATAGCGTCAATTACTTCCAGCCCCACCATAATAACAACTCATACCATACTTCGCCTTATTTAACAATGAAGTTGCCTCTCTGTCAACCTTCCTTTTAAATCATTATCATTGGCCTTCTAATCCCCATTGAACCACATTGGAAAAATTTTTCCATTTATCTCCTCTCGTACTCTAACATATTGTTTTATCCCCCTTTCATCCATCAAGGCCAAAGTTTCTTTCTCCACTGCTATAAACACTTTTCTCAAATTAATTTTTATAACTATGTAGGTCATCCTATAATGTCTCTACACTAGCACCAGTGTCTCCATCTGTGTTGTTCTTCAACACCCCAAGCAAACTAGGACATTTGAATCCTTGTCAAGCTTCATCATAAATTTCTTTGATGGCCTCTATTGATATCATAAACAATGATCCTCAAACACTTTGCTCACATTTTAAATCTCTAATAGGTTTTATAGTCAATGCAATAATCAAATTTTGATATGTTACATATCAAAAATAGCTCAAACTTCATCAATTAAAAAAGGAGAGTTGTTTAAGTTTGTAGTCTCCCTTCACTTAAAGCTACGGCCTTCTACTAACTTTAATTAAATAAACATAGAAAAGAGGGTGAGATTAACAAATTTGCATGTTGATGAGACTTCCTAGAGAATAATATCTCATTTCAATCCTTCTTAGTTAGAGGAGTCTAAAAAAGAAGTTCTAATGGAATTATTAACAATATTATTTTTAAAAAAATTAATGGAAACAAGGGAGCATGGTTCTGCCAGGATAAATTCCAATAATCACAAAAAAGCCAAAAAAATGCCAAATAGAGTCGCTCAAAATCAAACTATCTCCCCTCAACAAAATGGTTTTTTTTTTATATATATAAAGTATATTAAAAAACCCATTCAGGAACATGAACAAACTTGGAAAAGATGATTTTGTTTATAGCTTCAAATAAAAGAAAACGACAGAAACATATTCCATAATCTCATCGACATTTGACAATATGACATAAGGAATAGAAAATACTATAAATTGTCAGAATAAACTAATCAACAAAGCACTAAAAACAAATCTAGTCTATTTAGAAAAATACCCTTGGTCACATACCATGGCGGCAGAAGAGGCTATTTGAAAAGTAAGTCGATTTCACATTTTTCTAATGAATATGCGCAAAAACTTCATGGACTAACAATTTGAACAAGGGTAAAACTGAGGTCCATTCACAAACTTTTTTGATCTAAGTATGTTTGTTTATACGCAAATTAAAATAAAACTAAAATTAATGCATTTTTTTAACGGAAAAAAAATGGAAACTATAATCCACAACGATATTGCTGAAAAATTCCATCACTCAGATAGACAAAAAAAATAAGCAAATAAACTAAATTACAGTACGATGAACACCATTCTTACGATATTATGGTTAGAAGCACGATACCAAGAGACTGAAGCCTCTACACACAAAAAGCGAATAACAACTAGGAGAAATCGATCAAGTAAGAAGAGAAGGCAAGAAATCTCTAGGAAATGAGCGGAGACACAAGAAGATCAAGTCACCTTTATGAAGTTCGCGGAATGAAGAATCAAAGCGACTTTTCCCACCAGGCCACCAGTGTAGCAGTTTTATATTTCTTTTGAATCATAAAGTGGAACGACTAAAGGCGACCCAGATCAGTCAAGGTCAAGCCCTTTTCCGTGGTTACAACACACCACAATAATTGAAGCGATGAGTCCGTATTCGGATTCGAGGCCTCAAACTCGCCGAGCCGGCTCGGCGAGCCCCCGCCAGGGGTGGGGATGCTGCGAGCACATTCCGTGGTTACAACACACCACAATAATTGAAGCGATGAGTCCGTATTCGGATTCGAGGCCTCAAACTCGCCGAGCCGGCTCGGCGAGCCCCAGCCATGGTCGGAAATGCTGATTGCCATTTGCATAGAAACGGCTACAGAGAAAAGGAGAGAGCGCTGATAGAGAAACAAGCAGAAGGAGATTTTACCGCAGTCGAAACATTGATGAGTTTTTGTACCAGTACATATATATATATATATACATATATAACACAACCCATATATTGGAGTGTTGATTCAGGTTGTATAAATTTTTTTGATAAATTATATGACCACCTACCATCCCTAAATCCTAAACCATCCCTCGTGAGTGGGGCTGTCAAAAAAGCTCGTTGTTCGTGAACAGTTCGTGTTCGGTTCGTCAATGAGTTTGTGTTCGATTCGTTCGATAAGTAAACGAGACAAACACAAACAAATTTTTTTCGTTCGGTTAGTTAAACAAACCAAACACGAACAGTGATGTGTTTGTTCATGTTCGAAATATAAAATAATTTAAAATAATTATATATAAAAAATTTATGATATTGTAAAAAATTAAAATTTATAAATTATAATTTATAATAAATTAATAAAAATAATACATTAATATACTAAGTTATATAATTAATATATAATATTATTTTTATATATTAATATTAGGGATGTCAAACTGGCTCGTCGTTCGTGAACAGCTCGTGTTCGGTTCGTGTTCGGCTCGTTCGTTAAGAAACGAACACGAGCTTATTTCAAACAAACTAAATTTTAAACGAACCGAACACGAACACAAGCTTTGTTCGTTCGTGTTCGGTTCGTTTACACCCCTACTCATGAGTCTCAGAATTTGAATATCACACTCTACACTCTGGGGAATCAAATCCCAGACCAGAGGGGACTTATAACTGAAAAGCAGATATCCGACCAACTGATCTGAGTACGCGGCGGAACTAGTTGCTAGAAATTGTCGGGCGCAATTTTGCTTCAATTCGATTCCTTGAAAATAGTATTTAACTTAATATGCATATAGTTTTGATTTTAGAAATAATATTTTAATTTTGAAAATGAAACCAAAAAGATCTCACATATTTAGTAGTTTAAATAGTCAACACCACACTACAAGCAATGCACTTATCCTGAGGGATAGACACATTTCTTGTTAGTGGGACTCAATTACATAAACTAAAGGATTTATGATATTTCTTGTTAGTGGGACTCAATTCGATTCCTTGAAAATAGTATTTAACTTAATATGCATATAATTTTGATTTTAAAAATAATATTTTAATTTTGAAAATGAGACAAAAAAGATCTCACATATTTAGTAGTTTAAATAGCCAAGCACCACACCACAAGCAATGCACATATCCTGAGGGATAGACATATTTCTTGTTAGTGGGACTCAATTACATAAACTAAAGGATTTATGATATTTGTTTAGTCTGCAAACATTTCATATGTTGACTAACAAATTCTCATATCTAATATAAAGATTAAATATGGTTATTTTACATGGGTTCTTTAATTCTCTATAGAGACAAGCCCGTAAAGTTAATTACATCCTAAGCGTCCAAATTTACTTAAGAAAACTCTCGATAATGATCAGAGGTATTTTCTTCAAGATTTAAAGCTTAGTTTTCAAGGTTGGACATAGAAAAATCAAATGGGAGTGGATTAAATAGGAGCAATTATTTTAGGAGTCCAAAGAAAAAAAAAGTATGGGCTGTGACAAATCTTGAGAAGAACCTTGGTGACTTCTCAACTATTATATTGCTTGGCTTCAATTTTGAAGGTGGTATTATTTAATATTTCAATCCTTCAGTTTTTATTATTTAGAGCTTACATTTACATGATATCCGACCATGCAAATAGCCTGGAAGATAGGAGGATTTATGTCATACTGAATGACCACCTCGAAATTCTAAAAGAGTTAATACTTATATTGCACAATATGATTGTGCAAAAGCCTAAAAATATGGTGAGAACTTATGTCGCACTAGACAGACAACTTTGAAATCCTATGACTTACTGTTTAAACTAGGAAAGGTTTAGCTAAAGTAGACCTATTGCTCTCTCAAGGATCTTCTTCTGTGCGTTGTGACCTTGTCATGTTGCCCACAAAGTCTGCTCCAAGCTCCTTGTTGTAGTGGTAACTCCAAGGTTTGCAGTTTATATGTCAGCAGTTTATATGTCATGTTTTGTTTTTATATGTCATGTTTTGTTTTTGTTAAGTTTTATTATTGGAGTGTTTTGGGGAGATTTAAGTTAAACGACACTTGTCAAAATCTTGCGGTTTCGTCATCCCGACATCACTATTTTCTTTTGAATTTACTTAGTCTAAACGAGATGTTAGGCTCATTTAGACCAGAGAATTATCGTTAGCAACCGTAGATTACCTCATCTGAGAGATCCTTGTAAATTCAAAAGAAGTAGATTAAGTGTGTTCAAAATAATTTAAAAGTGTATTAATTTTTGGAAAGTGTATTTTTGTTTTGCAGGTATTAATAGTAAAACATGCATAGTAAAGTGACGGTAAGATAAAAGTAATAAAATTGTAATAATTAAAATGTAAATGCATACCTAAGGCTCTTACTGATGTGCATGGTTAGTATCATAAACATAATATAGTTACAGAAAATTTAAATAAATTGTAAGAAAACCTGATATAAGGAAATCCAAACTAGTCATAGAAAATAGGGGTAAGGCAAAACCCGACATCACATATGAAAAACTGGGATTGAGTGTAAGAATTTAGTAAAGATAGTGGCTCAGAGCTCGGATGTGTGCTTTATTATCCAACTTCAGATAAAAGCTATTAATCCGGTAATCTGAGGAGGGGCAATTCCTAACCTCGATCCAAATGATTAATCCATGGATCTTTATACGTTTTCATCAAAACCCGACATCACATAGGATAGTTTGGGGGATTACCAAGAACATACCCTGAATCTTTAATCTCCCCTACTTCTCTTCTTTTGATTCTTAAAACAAAATTTTTCACTTTTGAACCAATCCTTATTGAAAACTCCAACCCTTCCTTTTGAACTCATGAAAGCAAAAGATTCCTGATTTTTATCGAGAGTTTTTCGAGAGTTTTCTTATCTAAAGTGATCCGTTCGCTTAAGATGTAATTAACTATAGGGGCTTGCCCTTATAGGAAACTTAAAAGAAGTCATATCGAATAGGGGAATCTGTCGGTCATCTTGCAAACGTACAAATCAAATGAATGTTATTTATTTCTATAGTTTATTTAATTGAACTTACTATTAAGTAGTTTAATACCTTTCACGATGGTACATTACTCGTGGTTAACTCGATTATTCAAACTGTGGAAATCAATGAAATTAGTTTGACCCCATTTTCTTCAAATTAAAATAACTAATTACTAAATATTATATTACATTAAATTAAACCGCACCCAGCTGTATGGCGACCGACAGGGTACAAATGAGTGTGCATAAGTGCACAGAGCTACATGCAGATAGTTTGGTGAGTTGTTTGGAACCACGTAGCTCCATTTGACCCAGCCAACCTGTGCCATCCCACATCTTGCAACCCAACTCAGTCTGAATGACCCACATAACTGTCCACTGATGCAAGTTCTGGCTATACCCAAACTACATCGATCTACTACTTCATGCATGCTTATGTGCCCCGCAGTCGCACATCCGCTGCCTTAAGTGCATCTATTGTTGCTGTCGTGCTCCCCCTACAACTGACATGTGTTGGCTGCCCCATGTCAGTGGGTAGTTGATATTGCTATCGTTATCACGCACACTCTCCATTGCGTCCCAACTTGCTTCCACTATCTCCTGTGGATCCCATTACATCTTTAACATGTATTTTTTCTTATTTCTTCACCCACACATGCATGTGCACCCATGTATGCATACTTACTGACCAAAATGCTAAACTGCTACTGTCTAGCCACCGCCAACACTAACAACAAGGACCTAATCTAAAACCTTTTATGAAGTATTTAGTTTGCCATTTTTTGACATTATGTATTCATTTTTATCATTTTCAAAGCTCCATGAAGCATCAATGTCATATATTTCTTCAATTCACTGTACAAGTTTTATTTTGGTGTTTTGAAATAATGATGGAGACTTTCACATCAATATATATTTTCAGACATTTTAAACACTAATGTCCAAAAATAGAGGGGAAATGATGCAATATCAATAATTTTTTCTCATCTAGCATGAGTTTCGATGCATTTTTTTAGTACTAAATGTTCAAAATCAAAATTTAAGATCAATTACAACCCAAATTTTAACAAGTTCATAGTCAAATTGATCATCTCAATACGAAGAATCTGATCATACCAAAAATGGTTCAATTCGAGTTCAATCAAGTTCAGATCAAACCAATAAAACATATTTTGTGGTTTCAATTCATTAATTGAATAGTCAAATGAACTCCAAATTTGACATTCTTATAGTTAAATTGAGCCTCTCGACAAGAAAAATCCATCTAGCCTAAACTCACTTAATTGCATTAAAGCATTTAAATCATTGAAAACCCGTCTATGATCAAGAGAGATCTGTATGGACCATTCGATCAGGTGGATATGGGAGTTATTCCCCGAATGACAAAAAATAGAGGCTATAAATAAACCCCCTCACTTTATGTGAGAGAGAGGAGTCAAATTTCAGTGTTGTTTCGGACTGAAGACCAAGCAATAACTTCCAGACTCCGTAGCCTCTAATAATCTTTGACTACTGCTCGTTGACCACCATCAAATACTATCAATTGCCCCTTGGTCGCCACCACCAGTGAACTCTGTTGTGTAATTATGTATCTCTGACTACTGTACAACAAAGTATCCTGATGATTATTCAACAAAGTATCTTGAATACAATGTAAAGAAGTATCACAAATAGAGTATAACGTATACACATCGCATTAAAAATCTAGTGAAAACTTCCAGCTTCAAGTACTTACA